AGGCAAGATAGAGGATGAAACAGATGAAAGTTATATCTGTTGAGTGTGAAGTTTGCATGACACTAAAATGGGATGGGTGAATTAAGCAGGTATCTATATCTATATATCTATATCTATATCTATATCTATATCTATATCTATATCTATATCTATATATATCTTCACTATGTACATACACACACATATCTATGTGTGTATGTACATAATGAAGACAAGTCTGAATGATAGAAATTTGTAATTTGTATTGTGTAATTGGTGCATGAAGGCAGATAAGTGTCTACTATTGTCTGAGGGACAGGGTGAGAGCAGAAAAGATGCCTAGAAATATAAACTGAGAATACAAAGGGACAGGCAAAAGAAAACAAACGTTTACACAAGAAACCAGAAAGTTAGCTTTCAAACCAGGAAACAGCATTTATGAGAATCAAAAGGAAAAAAAATTTGATTATTAAGAGATGGTAGAATTTCAGAAAAAAAAATCTGGAAGCTACAGAGAGGTGAAATAAAGGAAAGGCTGCCGTAAGTACTATGCACTTGGTGATTTGAAAACCATAAGTGGTATCAGTGAAGCAAGATTCTGTCTAGTGGAACAGCTGGAGCCAGTTTCTAGCATGCTGTTGATCTGAAGAGTCTGCATGAAACATTTTTAGAAGGCATGGTCATGAACAAGAAGAGAGGAGATTACAGAGAGATAAGAGGTTTTGAGAGACTTTACGATGATATATTCAAAGACTGGAAAAAGACATTAAAAATACAGTAAAAGACGGGATCATTGATGATCTGTGACCCTGAGACCAGTGAAATGAGGCAGCTTCTGGACTGGATTATTGGTGAACAAATGAACCCTATGAGAAGGTCAAGGGTACCAAGTACTTTAGCTACCACTGATTATTTAAAATTCTAGTTTTGAAATTCACTTTGGCACCTAATACTTTACATGAACAAACTTTGCCAGCTTAGAAGAATTTAAGTTGCTGTCTGTAATTGCAGAAGTCATTTAAAATGTGTCTTAAATGAAACATGTACTCCAACAGGAGCAAAAAATATCACTAAAGTTATGGAATAAAGTTCTTTTAAAGTGTTCACTTTGGAAATTCAACCTGCAAATTCAAACTGGAACATAATGAATGTCTTCCACTTTTCCTTTCATTACTAAATGATGTATTCTGTATGGGTACCACGAATCTTAGTAGAAGAGTAAAACTAGTTTAATGTGAGAAAACCACTTAGGCTGACACACAATCTGTTTACCTGTAGTGGTGTCTGTGGTTATAAAACTTAAATTGAAAAGAAACAGTTTTTGCATTAAATGGCTAACCAAATGTCTTGGCCAACATATCCCAACTTAATAAAGTGGGAGGTAATAACCAAATTTGCTGTGATATTCTACTACTTGGTTTGCCTAAAAGCCCCTTGCAGTATTTCTTCAAAAGTTATTTTATAGTTATATTTGGAAAAAGATCAAAGGCAGGAATGGTCCACAAATCCAGGGTCCAAAGCTTTTCTGTCACATTATATAAAAATATAAATGATAGAACATTTTTTCATGTTTTTATAAAAATGGTATATATTGGAGGTATACAGTGTGAAGATTAATAAAAGAAGGCAACCTACAGGATGGATGAAAAATTTGTTGACCATGTATCTAAATAGTTAAGATCCAATTGTATAAGGAATGCATACAATTAATAGGAAAAAATAACCTTCAAATAACCCAACTTAAAAATGGGCAAAGAGGGGTCTGCAAGGTAGCACAGTGGGTAAAGCCACCACTTGCGATACTTGCATCTCATATGGGCGCTGGTTTGAGTCCCAGCTGCTCCACTTCCCATCCAGCTCTCTGCTAATTATCCCCTGGGAAAGCAGTAGCTGATGGCCCAAGCTCCTGGCCCAGCCCTGGCCATTGAGGCCATTTGGGGAGTGAACCAGCAGATGGAATATCTTTCTTCTATTTCTCCCCTCTCTCTCTGTAATTATGCCTTTAAAATAAATAAAATAAATCTTTAAAAAAAATGGCAAAGAACCTGAACATTTTCCAAGGAAGAAATACAAATGGCCAAAGAAGAATTGGTAAACGGTAGGAGGACATTCTTAAAGGGGCAATGATTCATTCTCTTGATTCTTCTTTTAGGCAGCTAAAACCAAGTCTTAAAGACTTTACAAATTTCATCAGGAAACAAGGCCTTACTAATAGCATAGGAATTTATCAATTAGTATGTTTTTCTGAGTGGGTTATAAATTGAGTGCCACCATTAGGTATAATCAAGATTGCCATTAATTCTGCAAATAATGAGTGAATCTGAGTCAAATGATTTTGAATTTCAAAAGTTCAACTTCAACCCTCCTACTCACCTGACTCATCTTTTCCTTAATAGAATTAGATTTCTAGTGCAGCCGTTAGTGTATCTCTTGAGAGGGATAGAATATTTTGCTTAACTTTGAATAATTACAGCATTGGTTACTGGTCAAAAATTTCACTGTTAATTTGTAAGATTGATGTTAAAAAAGGTTATATAGTGGTTTTCAAGGAAACAAAATCCACACTAATGCAATTTGCAATTTACAATTTACAAATAAACAATTTCAGCTTAAGAAACCGATTTAGAAATCATAGTGGCAACTTGCTATTCATAAGATACAACTAACAAGATTGACCTTGTTTCTAGACAAGAGATAAGGAAGTGAAGCCAGATCTTGTTGAATACCAGCTCTACTACTTACTATTGGCAAATCAATTAACCCCACTGTGCCTCAGTTTCATCCTCTAGTAAATGGGAACAATAACTAAAACTTTCATGGAATATTAAGATTATTAAAGGAGTTAATATAGGAAAGTCATCTAAATAGTGTAGGGCAGATAAAACACACACGACTGTCCCTCTGGCTGTCTATCACAGGCTGCTTACCCACGCGTATGTTCATGCCTGCCTAGCAGACTGCTAGTACTCTTCAGAAGAATTGGATATTTGCTTTCTTTGTGGATTAGTATTAACTTTGTCTCTGGTTCTCAAGTCTTCATTTGTGCACACATCTGGGCTATGTGATGTCTAATAACTATAAAAGAGAATAAAAATAAAAGTTTCTTAGGAATTTTGCAGCCTAGTTATTAATTGCAGGTGGCCCTCTGTATCTGGGGATTCACGTCCACAGAGTCAATCAATTGAGGATCACGTCGTGTGTAGCTACCAGGCACTAGATTGTTTACTGCACGTAAACAAATATAGTATAACAACTGTTGCATAGCATCTACTTGTATAAGGTATTATATGTAATCTAGAGATGATTTATAGTTTATGGTAGAAGGCTGTAGGTTATATGACAGTATTATGCCATTTTTTATTTGAAAGATAGAGTTAGACAGTGAGAGAGAGAGAGAGAAAAGTCTTCTTCCATTGGTTCACCCCCTAAACGGCTGCCATGGCTTGAGAAACGCCGATCCAAAGCCAGGTGCCAGGTGCTTCTTCCTGGTCTCCCATGAGGCTGCAGGCGCCCAAGTACCTGGGCCATCCTCCGCTACCCTCCCGGGCCACAGCAAAGAGCTGGACTGGAAGAGGAGCAATCGGGACTAGAACCTGGCACCCCTATGGGATGCCAGCGCCACAGGCAGAGGATTAACCAAATGAGCCATGGCGCCAACCATGCTATGCCATTTTTTGTAAGGGATTTGAACATCCTTGGATTTTGTTATCCACAGGGATCCTGGAACCAATCCTCCCATGATAACTGTACTGGATAAAAGCAGACTTGTGTGATATGTTTCATGATCTTTTATCCTAGTTTAACTTAAACTTTAGGCTGCTAGATCTAAAGCAAATAATATTATAACATGGAAGACACTTTCATTTTATTTGTATTAATCTTAAGTGATATTGCAACAATTTTCCTTCATTATAACATTTTAATAGAACTACCATATATTTAATATATATAAAATATTAAAAATAAAAATGGCTATCATATTTATTGATTATTTTCATTTCTTGTTATTTTAAAATGCAGATTTTCACACAATTTGATTGAAATACTACATGGCGTTTTAAAGACCGATTTTACTTTACCTTCTAAAAACATTTTCCTATATCCTTTGATAACATTATTTCCTGAGACTATATAATGTCACATTATGTAGCTATACTTTCATATTTAATCTTGCAATTGTTTAGGGCATTTAGGTCATTTCCAAAATTTGCTATTATAAGTAATGCTGCAATGAATATTTTTACATGTAAATCACTATCTACATTTCCATATTCCTATGAAGATTTATTAAAATTGGAACTAATTTAGGGAAGATTCAAAAAAAATCTATTATCATTGCATAAGGCAAAGAGCATAAAGATTAAACCCTAATGAAAGATATTTAATATGGTAAGGTGAAGCTCAAAATTGTCCTCTAGGAAGTAACTGATGGAAGTTACTACAGCATAGGAGGCTGTTCTGGGCAGAGATTGAAAGCATCGCTAAACAGGTTCACGGTTTCTTGGCTACATGCAGAGCCACAGCTGTTACCTAAGTTAGAAATTATTTCTTTTGTGGAACAGTTAAGAACATTTAATGCTGAAACTAATAGTGCATAATGTTTTGTTGCAGAATTTTTATGTTCATACAAATAATACAAGACAGACAATGTAGAACTCTAGATCTAAGGAGTATTCTAATAGTTATTCTAGATTAAGGGAATGATTGCATTTTAAAAGTCTTTAAATTTACCTAAAACTTTTAGGGTTACAACTTTATCATAAATTAAAGATTATTATTTTATGTACCATTTTATATCTGAAAATTCTTTGAACATTTCTTTTGTCCTAGCAGAAATAATAAAGGTTGAAAAGTGGATAAACTATTTTAGTGGGAAAATGGATGGAAATCTACACGGACTTGATCTGAGAAGTGGGACTTACTGAAAATAAAGTTGCTATTTTTTAATTTATCTGTAATGTAATGTGATCAAAGCATTATTTATTTTGCTATTTCTGTTCTTATCTTTGATAAATATTTAGTGCCCAGATCCATCCTGCAAACAAGACTTATTGGCCTACCTGGAACAGATTAAGTTCTATTCCCACCAACTGAAAATTTGCAGTCAAGTCAAAGCTGAGATCCAGAGCCTGGGTGGAGAACTCATCATGTCTGCTGTGAGTACTGCCCCTGTCTTACACCACCACAGGTGTAAGGTGCGGAAACGGAGCAGTCACACCCCTGCTCGCACCACCAGGTCTTTTAGGTAAACTCCACCTAGGACAAACATAAACGAAATTTGTACAAAAGTGTGTGTAATTAAACCAGCAAGGCAGCATGCCAGATTTCTTTTAAAATTGTTACACAGATTCAACTTGTTTTTATTTACTTAAGAGATTAAAGGATAAATCAGGTTCTGTTAACCACTTGGACGAGAAATGAATGTTAATTTGGAGCATAGTTTTCAGACTTCAGAAAGTGTGCAGATGGAACTCTGAATTTAATCCTTCAAGGTTTTTAAAATAAATGCATGTGGAATTTCAATTAGTAAAATGATTGATTTATTGTTATTAACTGATATTCATTTCTCACTTGTTCACTTTTATAATATGGCAAGTTAGGTCCTGACATTTATAAATTTCCATATATACTTTCAGATGTTGAGTGTGAAAGGACAATGTAGATTCAGAGGAATTTATGTAAATTCTTTGCTGGCTCAGATTTTCAAGCTGCTATCAAATTACCGTAGTAGAAATAATGTGTAGGTTTTTTACACATCTTTTAATAATAGTATCACTTAAATAGAGAACATATGGTAATAAAATAATATTAAATATTGGATTCAGTTATTAGTGACTTTGTGAAGGACATGGATAAAGATTATAAATTCAAGTTAAAATGAAAGATTATGAATATTCTAGGAATCTCTACTCCTGGGATCAATTTTTTTAAATTATACCGTATACTTATACATTTACAACATCTAGAGCCTCCACATACTTGCACTGGGCTTTCATTTAATGAATTAATATTCTTGAAGAGAACAGAATTGCAAAAACACAAGCAAAAGATTATCATCAAAGGTAGAGGAAAGGGGGAGGAAATACTCCTTATTTGTCTCTTGCCTGTATCTTATTCCTCCAAATAATATTCCAGAGAGATGATTTATTTGGCTACTTGATTTTAGTGTGAAAAAATCAACTCAGAAAATTTAAATAGCTCTGTGAAAATCATCCTAGTAAATGTCACTGCTGGGGGTTTCCAAGTTCAGGTGGACAAAGTTTCATTGATGATGAAATTGAAGCACTCAAACCAAAAGTGAAAAATCTGAAAATTAGGTGGTAGATTTGCTATATAGTTTTCTGTTCCAGTTATTGTTAGAGGGAAAAAATTTACTTGATATTCAAATTTCACAAAACAAAAATACACAAACACAACCTGTGCAATACTGGTGCCCTGTATTTTTCAAAGGCAAATAGATTTTAAGCAGTCATAACCCATAAAAACAGAAACCTGTCTATACAGATACTTGTATGCATACATACAAATACAGATCCATCCATATATATACACACAACATGTGTGAGAGTGCATATGCAAATGTTCCTCAGTTTACAAATGAGATTATGTACCAATAAATCTATTAATCAATTGAAAATATATTTAATACAACTAACCCACCAAACATCATGGCTTTGCATCACAAGCACTGTAGAGTGCTCCTCCTTTACCCTCCTGACTGCTCTACGCTTCCTCGAGGCTACTGGGGGCTGTGGTCACTGTCACTGTCTGGCATCATGAGAAGAGCAAACCACATACTGCTGGTGCAGGAATAGACCAAAAATTCAAAGTTAGGTTTTTTTTGTTTTTGTTTTTGTTTTTGTTTTTTTTTTAAGATTTATTTATTTATTTGAAAGGCAGAGTGGAAGAGAGAGACAGAGAAAAGTATTCTATCTCTATCTGCTGGTTCACTCCCCAAAAGGCCAAAAGGCCACAAAAGCTGGAGCTGTGCTGATCCAAAGCCAGGAGCCAGGAGCTTCTTACGGGTCTCCACACGGGTGCAGGGGCCCAAGGACTTGGGCCATCTTCTACCGCTTTCCCAGGCCATAGCGGAGAGCTGGATCAGAAGTGGAGCAGCTGGGACTCGAACTAGTGCCTATATGGGATGCCAGCACTGCAGGTGGCAACTTTACCAGCTAAGCCACAGGGCTGGCCCCCAAAGTTACAGTTTCTACTGATTGCCTTTGCTTTCATACCAGCTAAATTAAAAAATCATCAGGGCGAGCACCATGGCTCACTTGGCTAATCCTCCACCTGTGGTGCCGGCATCCCATATGGGTGCCAGGTTCTAGTTCCGGCTGCTCCTCTTCCAGTCCAGCTCTCTGCTGTGGCCTGGGAAGGCAGTGGAGGATGGCCCAGGTGCTTGGGCCCCTGCACCCACGTGGGATACCAGGGAGAGTCACCTGGCTCCTGGCTTCAGATCAGCGCAGCTCTGGCCGTAGCAGCCATTTTGGGGGAGTGAACCAACGGAAGGAAGACCTTTCTCTCTGTCTCTCTCTGTCTCTCTCTCTCTCACTGTCTAACTCTATGTGTCAAATAAAAAAAAAAATCAACTATCATAAGCCAGTGATTATCTATGTGCATATAAATATCTGTTTTAAAATATGGTATCTACATTTTGGACTTTTAGACAGGTCGTCTTTTCTCATTTTAAAATATCCTATTTTAACATATATATATATTTTAAACATATATATATATATATTAATTTGGGGACCAAACCTATCTTCTATTTACTTTTCTCAGTTTCACACACTCACCATCCTTCATAAAGTCTAAATGTATATAAATTTTATTTGCCAAATATATGCTGCTTTTTTATATTGTCTGAAGCTGAGCTTTCAAAAAAATGTAATAGAAGTCTAGCTTATATGTAGCTGTTAAATTATGTCACTGTTACTTTCCCCTCCAAAATATAATTCCCTCTAGATGTATAAATTGAGTTTGAATTTTTTCCTATTCAGTGTGATGATTCAAGTTCATGAACTTTGGATATTTTGCAGATAGATTAGTCAGGAGCCATTTAAAATCTGTGACTTAGAATTTAAAGACTGAGTTATAAAATGAGGAATGGTACTGCAAATCCAAAACTATGTGTCATCATTGTGCCCACAATTTCCCATTAGAACAAAAAAAAAGTCAAAAAAAAAAAGTCAAAAAAAAAAAAAAAACAGGAGAGCATGGCCATTTTCATATGATTTGCTGCCTTGAGCTTGCAGTTATATCCTGGAAAGCTTTTAAAATAAATTTCGTTTGTGTGCCAAAACACTTTTGCTTTAACCTCGTACTGAATATGGTTCTTGTTATGTTTTTCTTTCTTCTTTAAATAGAGATGATCTTATCTATGCTATTTTTTCCATGATGTCTCTTGAAAAGTAACAAACTTGACTCTAAGCAAGAAAACACTGAAAATTACAGAATTTTGGTTTTCAAAAGTGCAGATTGTTCAGAGTTCACTAAACCAAATTTGCATAAAACATTGCTTTTGATACATATATTTGACTAATAACATGTATGAATGGAATGCATTTCTGGAGTGAATGGGCAAATGATATTATGGATCTGGAGTATTAGGATTTAAAATAAGGAGGTTTTATTAGTAAGATAAAGGAATTTGGAGGCTATTCAATAATATGCCATTTAATTAAATTACTTTTCAATTAATCTTAAATTTAAATGTTAACACTTATATTAAAGTTGAATGTGTTAGTGTGACAAAGTAAAAGTGTAGTTAGTTCTAGTCTACTGCTATGAATTGATCACCCTTGCTTTGTATGGCATAGTAGAATTTCTGGGAGATGCAAAGTTGGCCATATGATGCTTCCTTTAAGATTCTGAAATATGTGTAAAGTTAAGCATAAATATATCTGAACACACAAAATGACTCTAGAACATTTTAATAAACTAATAGCACCATGCACAAATGCACAGAGTCTAAAAGGTGAGGGGATAGTTGCAGAGGAATCTTGTAACACAGGTGGCTTTATCCTAATGTGTCCTTGATTAATTAGTAGAAAAGAGTTGTGAATGTATAGGGGAAGGAGAGACGAAAGGATTCAAGATAGATGGGACAATTAAAACAAAAAGAAATGGGCAAGACACAGAATATTATGCAAATGGCAAGCAGTCAGATGTGGCTGGAAACACTTTTACTTAGGACTGTTGGCTTGTGTATTATGGGGGAGTGAGATAAAAACAGAATCTCCAAAAAAATTGGGAATGTCTAAAAATGTTTATAGAATTTTACTTTTACCATGTTGACAATTGAGAGTAATTGAAAATTTTAATATTGAGATGAGCATAAACAAATTTATCTATTTGACAGTTTACTGTTTCTGACACAGTGGTGATAGATTGGGAAAATCAGGTGTTAGAGGACAGAGTCCTGCTTACGAATGACTTTGGTTTTTAAATAGTTCAAGAAAGAATCAATGAGCTGTTGGATGCAGGTTACATTGGTGAGAATTGAGAGGAGTGTATCTATACAAGAAAAAATTGTGAAGTTAAAGTGTTTAGGGTTGCTGAACTAGAAGAGAATTAATTTAAGATTTGGGGGTTTGATAATCAACAGTGCCATTATTTACTACATCATTTACTACAAGAGACAACATATAGAAGGAAGATATCTTGGACACAGTAAGGAAATTCATTTTGCTCTAGCAAGTGATTCTCATGTACCTTTACCAGATACAGAGTTTTGATTGAGACACTTGAAACAAATTGGGAATTTACTATCTCCATAAAGGGAGTCTGAGAATGAGCAATCCACAGTTGTTATGGCAGCTTTACAAAGTAATCAGGGAGGCAGCAACTTTTGTCTTTCTGCTTTGTGGTTCCCAGCTTCTGTCTTTCATTATCAAGGTCAAAAGCATGGCTACTGTAGCTCTGCCTATTGCTTTTGTATTCATACAGGAAGAATGAAAAGACTCAGAAGCAAGCATTCCTTACATCTTGCTAAGGGGCCTTCTAGAAAATCCCTTCCAAATGCTTTTTCTTATACATTATTGGTCAGTGTTTAGTCATACAGCTGTAAGAAATGTTGAAAAATACATATTTTATATTTGTATTTTTTGGCTATACTGCTTTAGACTGTAATTAGAGATTTGCATTTTTAAAA